TCGTATACAGCAGGCAGGAGGGTCTCCCTGGCTATGTAAATCTGCATTTGCATTTGCAGAGGGGGGGAGGGAGAGGTTCCCCAAAATGGAATCTTCTCCACTTATTTCCATTAGAATTCTAATCATCCATCTTTGACAGTTATTTACGTGCAAGTTAGTCTGCTGCACTACGGGTAGTCCCCGGGTTAAGGATGCATGGTTTACAGATGACCCATAGTTAAGAAAATTCAAGTTAAATACACAATGGTTCGAGTTCATTACACAATACTACTTATACAGTATTGTACAATAATACTGTTCCGGTTTACGTACAAAGTTGACTTAAGGACAGATCTTGGGAACGGAACTAGTTCTTAAACTGGGGACTACCTGTATCTTCTAAGTAAACTTGTTTGGAGATTATCTTAATCTTCCAGCAACCTGGAAACCATCAACAAAAATTCAGTTCATAATGGGTGCACTGGTATCTCATTTGTTTCCTTCTAACTCAGCAGGAGAACACTCCTCACCTATCTCTCAATCGCTTCAGTCATGCTCTTCCTCCCAGCTTAGGAAAAGCCTGTCCATTCCAACCTTAGACCTTGTCTACCGCCCCTACAGCCCATCCTTACCGTCTTACATATTTCAGAAGACCCTGCTTGATGTACCCAGGAACCTGCTGCAATCTGGGATTGTGTACAATGACAGTTCTTTATTATGCCCACACCCTCCAAATGCAAGTCAACTTGTAACGTCTCCCCTTCCTCACTACACAGAAGATAGCAGGAGATGCAACCAAGAAGGTACACAAGATATTTTTGCCCTGCTCTACAGGAATGTTCCTTTCCATCCCAGGAATTTCCAAACAGAAAGCTTCTCTTTAGGTTCTTTTTCCTACACTCCAAAAAAGAGTGCATTGGGACAAGTGCTCATGGATCTTATTTCTTTTTACTTATCTATGGGGAGGCCTTCAGAAAATCCCAGGGCTGTAGTTTAGAGTGAGAAGTTATAAAAAACAATCAACAAACTTATAGTGGAAGGTAGTGGTGGCAAAATCCTTTCCTACCTCTGCCAAGAAAACTCCATGGACCTGTGTATAAAGTCTCCAGAATCTGAACTTGACATGAAGGAGACCTTCAGCTGCTGAGTGCATTTTCAGCTCCAAAAATCAGCCTTTCTTGCTGGAGAAATTAAGTCCACCCAAGATCAAGTTGGGAAAGTCCAGCACTCCTATAGGGAAATGAACAAGGCCTTCTTCCACATTGCCAGGTTCTCTAAAGAGCAAAAAGGGAGAACAACATAGGAAACCGGAACAGCGGGATAGGAGGAAACATATCCTCGGTTGTCCCATCAGATCTCATGGGATCACAGACGGCATCAGTCGACAGTGGCCTAAATTTTGCTGCAGTAATTACGAGAACACTAAAATGGCTACACATTATTGATTGAATGAGGGGGAAGTTTTCTGGCAATAATGAACATGCTTTAAGATGCACACATCCTTTGAATTTCTGACAGCCAGCAGAGCAGCGAATTACTGTATTAACACAAAGAGTCTCAAGATTTTATCATTCTGATGAGTGCACAACATTATGGTAAGCAAAACATTCATATCCTTGAAGGTTACCACTCCTTCACATTTGTCTAGTCTTAGTCCCCGAGCCAAATTCCTCGACACTTAGTAGAGCTTAATTGCATTTTCACCTCCCTCACTTAATGCACATTTGCTGAGTTTCTGATACCACAAGGAAGCTGATACATTTTAATAAAGTTCATCATGATCAGGTATATATTCTACTACACACCTCTTACAGTTAAACATACCACCAAACACCACCGTACTATGCGATCTACTTTTTCCTTCCCCAAATGTGTTTTAAACAATTCTGTGGAAACATGTCCTTCATTTGCATTATTGCAAAGGTTTATCCACCCCGTATAACTGAACTTTGTAAACGAAGTCTTAGTTTAGCCCCAGCTTATTTTAAAACAATTTGAGATTCATGGGGGGGGGGGAGGGTCTATTTCTTTCCCCATTCAAATTCTGTATTTCTCTTTCCTCCTCTCTCATATTTGCACAAACACACTCCTTTTTTTTTCTTCTTCCTCTCACATCCTTCCTGGCTTCAACACAACGTTAAACATTTTTATAGGTAAGATAAATGTCAGTTTGGCAAGCTTGTCCATGAGGCTAGACCCGGGGAGACAAATGTCTCTGTACTGTATCTCAGAACAGTTTCAGCATCACATGAGATTTCTGCCTTTCAGAAGAGCTCCCCGCATAAAAGCAAGAGCTTTTCAAATGGTAACGCCGCCTTTGAATTCACCGAGAACTTCATCTTGATGTTCAGCGTGATAACCAGCTAATCTTGGTGACTAAAATTAATATACACATACACACACACACATATAGGCATGCACACCCATGTACACCAATTGCTTGCACATTTTTAAATGGACAAGGGGTAGGGAAAGGAAAAAAACTGGAAGACACCCAAAGTTTAAACGGCTCTGGCTTTCAGCGTTCACAATTCACAGAGTAATAATAGAGGAAGGGAGCAGAAGACCAAATGGATTTTATCAGAATGTCATTCAAATGAAAGGTTTAACATTTACATCACAAGAGCCAGCTGTGAGCAAAACCTCCCCTTAAGGGGAAGAAATGCCAGGAATAAACATTGGAATAATAAAATAACAACAACACGTATAGGTAAAGTAGAAAAACTAGCAATTTTTCACTGCATCTCAAGTAGGACAACTGAGTGAACTCTTCTGAAAGGCTCTGTTAAGACGTCTAAACAAATTAGTGTTAACATCCCCGAAACGACGCTCGACTTCATTTTAAAAAATCCATAAATGTCACAAATCCGAGAAACATTAAAGACTGCTTTATAGAGGCAGTCTATACGAATACAGAAGGAATGAGAAAATTTGTTCTCCTTGGATAAGAGAATGAATTAGTTGCACCTTAGTTATTTCTCACTTCTGCTAACAGGTGAATTCGTCCTAAGAGGCAGATGAGGACGGAAGCTATTTTTTTATGACATGTTAAAAATCTCTGGGCAGTCTTTATAACGTAAACAAAGACATTATATTTATAGGAAGCATTCTTTTTTTAAAAAAAAAAAAAAGTTTAATTCTATGGAAACCAGATCTGTTCCGACATACTGCACTTTCAATGCTGAATTGCTGTTGAATTTGTTAGCCCACAGTTGATTTCCTGTATTACAAAGTCTTAGAGATTATGGTTAACTTGAAGAAACAGCTAAATTTTTGATACTTATCCCAATATATAAAAGGATTATTTTCCTCCATTGAAGTTGCCAGGGTTCCTGAACACTGTAGCCCAATAGTGCCCCCTGCTGTAAAACTATATTAAAGAAAAATATATTATTAAGAGTTTGGGACTCAGGACAGGTATGAAAAGGAATACAGAAGAGAGGACACCAGAACTCTAACTATAATAAACAAGCAAATGTATTTAGGGACTCCACTAAAACCAACAGGCTTTACGCATTATCATTCACTACTGTCTTTCTCAATAGCTCCTATTAATAGTGATTAATGCATTCAAAGTCATGGAGCTGTTCTTTTAAGATTTAAATTAGAAGCAGCTTCTGTCTTGGTCATTAAAAAAAAAGGTTTCTCAGATCGCTGATAAATATCATCTCAAGTCCCTCTGAAAGGCGATATGCCATGTTTCTAATTAGATACACATGGCAACACCACCCCATTTGTAAAGAACTCAGCCCTTGAGAATTCTCTGGGTAGGAGAGTTTTTCCATGTTCCTGACACACAGCAGAGATAAAGTGACGACAAAACAACTTCGCCTTGGCCTTTCCGAAGCACGCCACAGTTTCAAGGGGAAAAACTGTGACCAGAGAGAGAAAGCTA